TTTGCATTTTGTTGATTTATCTATTTATTATTGACTTCTTTAGTATTCACACCTCTACTTATAGCAGTGCAAATCTGAATAGAAAACGATTCGAATTCTGTAGAGGGCTCGATCCAGTGTCATAATTAGTCGAAATTCGAAACCAAATGGCGAATCATTATAGTAGGGAGTGGCACTGTATATTGTCCATCAGAGTGCAACATAGTTAAAGGCCCATGGTCAATTCATGGCAAGCCCTGCTAGAAGATTCCTCTATCCTGTTGGCAAGGCACAATTATCGGTCGAAACTGCACAAAGGCATATCGGCCGTTGTTGTTCGATAGCTATTTCACTCAGAACGAGTTGAGCATAGTGTGACGATGTGGAGCTCGATTATATTGCCATAACCGAAAAAACGAGTTTTCTCAACCACAATGTGAGAACACAGGACAACGCGAGGTGGAAAGGTGGGCGATGGCACGCTGACCATAGGTCAACATTCTTGGAATCAAGGGGGGGGGGGGGGGGAGGGGCTTTGAGCGAATACGACCAAAGTGTTTCTTAATCACTACAATTTCGTATATTTGTCAAAGAAGGTGAAACACGTGGAAAGTTTTTTCAAGAACTGACCTGAGATGGAAATGGAACATTTTCCGTACTTGAATGGCATAACCATAACCCACGCGAAGAACATTCTAGGCATAATGAACGGCTTAACAACGCCTCATAAGGGAAGTTCCTTAGGGCGTAAAGCGCTTTGAAGACGGTTTTCTGCGTTCTATAGGAACTCATGCGTGGACTATATACAAAGCCGAGGTCGATTTTGGCTGAGGGGCCCCGTGAAGGCAGAAAGGGGTTGAACGATAGGGGTACCCCCAGGAGGCCCGTCGCGCGGCAAGAAGGCAAAGTCAGCGGACGAGTCGCGCGCGTACTATAGGGATTTCGCGTCAAGTTAAATAGAATGTCCCATTGCACGTCCTACATCGCACACCACGCGCTGCAACTCGTCCGCCGACTCTGCCTTCTTGCCGCGCGACGGGCCTCCTGGGGGGTACCCGAACGATTGGTTCAAGGTTCAAGTCCCGTAGTGAAATTTTTGCGTTTCAATAGTTGGGAGCCTCCAAAGGTCCTCTAAGTATCACCAGCGCCAACAGTAGGTGTCGTATACGTTACCAGGACCAGGTGCCCTTTGCTAGAAGTTCTCCACACAGCACTCCAACGCTGTAAAATCACCCCCTCCAGGAAAATCTTTTACGATCTTTTGGCCATGAAGGGACCGCTCAGCGAAAATGAACCTCATCCTTGTAGTCCACGTGAGAGCCCTTACAGTTTGCAAAAAACCGTTCGGAAAAAGCGCTCCACACCTTGAACGCCCCCCCCTTCTTATTCATTGGCTACATGTTGCAACTTTTGTGATTTATCGATTCATTTTCGTTCTTTTAGACTTTTCTGAGGTCTTTCGGTTTTAGAAGCTAATTGGCCACAACTTACCAGTTACATATGGCCTTCACTGAAAGTCAATACTTTTTAGATACTCCTACCTGGGGAGAAACCATGGGCTTACGATGGCTATGGCCGTAATTTAATAAGCAGTTGAAGCTACACATTGCGTTTGTAGGCCATTTCTCTTCGAAAAAGTTGTTTGTGACGTGTTTCATACGAACCGTTCACGAACCTGTTCATTCGTTCCACAAATCGCTTAAAAGCACACATCAGGGTGGAAAATTTCGAATCTTCTGAGAAGGAGTAAAAGTACTATTAAGGCGCATGAGGTATTCTTGCAATGTAGAGAGCTTTCAGACACAACACAATGCGGTCGCAAACGCTGACCGCGCCGCCTTGCCATCAAGTCAATTTCCTAATGCTTACGCGAACTGGTGTCTACGTCTCGCATTTCATCCACACTCTCTCGCCCGTCATGCCTCGGCGCTCATTGTTTCTTTGTCGCAGCACTCCCATCTCTCCCGTAAAGAACGCTTACACTCTCATTTTTCAGAAGACAGATAATTCCTGAATATTAAATTGTTTTATTAATTTTTATTATTCAATATTCAAATATGCTGTATCGATGTCCTTCCATCAGCTGATCAGCTGTTAAGCTGATCATACTCGTGAATCTGATTCGCCTTCTTCAGATAAAGTTAAAAAAAATTCTTTTATTCGGAAATATTCGTCCTTGTATTTTATGACGTATATTTATATCATAACTGATGACGATGGCCGATTACCACCTCATTAGAACGGAAAAAACAATGATAAGTTATAGTGTTCGGCCATGGAAATTTCCCCTGTGGAAGGTAACGCCTCGGCTATCATTCAGAAGTGTTAAGAGAGGTATGCTTCCTGACAACTTCACCAAACCATGGCAAATGTCACCATCTGCTCACGTGACCGTCGTTTGCTAGGTTGAGATGTACATGGATGTGATTGTGGGTTTAGTTGATTTGACCTGGGGCTAGAGTAATAGTGGCGCAATGGCAGACAAGATGAAATTCAAACAACATCAGGACTCCCTTGGACAAAAGTTTAAAAAACCAATTTACGGATTCCGAAAATAGAGATTTGAGATTTCTCGAGGTCATCCCTCAATGATTGTCCAACAACATTTTCAACTCGTTCAATGGACAGGCACAAGTGATTGGATATAACGACAGCCTTCAGATTTCGACATTCAGGCACAGTTCCACTTCATTTGTCATAGCATTGCACAAGTAGGTATTATATGTTGGTTCTCTTACAGAACCTTTCAAAATAATCATCTATAACTATCTATCGGAAATGCATTGAAAAACAATAATGAAAACCACTAACAAATGCGCAGCAAATTACACTATGTCAAGGGGTCGCACACAGCGTGTGTCAAGTGAGGCTATGGCGCACATGTGGGTGCACGATCGTGTGGTGTTAACCCATAACGGACGGCGTGCGCCACAAGGTGGCGCACGACTATTTCTTTTGTTTTTGGAATGTTTCTAGCAATCTTAATATACCCATATATACTCTCAGCAATGTGGAATAACATATCTTCCCAGGACCTGGACGGCTGGATTTTTGACAAACCTACAATAAATTTTACATACATTTTGTCTTAATTTACATAAGTTTACTATTTGATGGGTGGCTTACCCATGGTTCGCACGTCCCGAGACCCCTTCCCCTAAATATAGCCACATCCTTGCTCGGGGTTGTTGTTTCGCATTTTTCGATAATGTCACCTACAGCTTCCATTCATTCTTTGCACCCTAGTTTTAGAGCGGAAAGGCGGGCTACGAACTTGTCGTCAACGGAAATCTCTTTTTTCGGATGATGAGACTCCGACACCTACTTTAGCCCCGTCTTACCCCTGCTGTTCACATAAGCCTACATAAACCCTACCATGGTGGCGCACGACCAATACACTGGCTGTCCGTTATGGGTTAAATCCATGGTGCGGGCGGGCTCGTACAGGACCATCGGAACATCTGATATACAATAGCTAGTTAACTAGTGCACAGGGAGTCTACGGCTTCTATTTTACCGTTTACTTCATGCAACGCTCTTTAATGAAGCTGCTCGGCACTGCAATGACTACTAGAACAGTACGTTTAAATTGGTTTTGTTGGAAATTGCCACGCCACCTAATGCATACGTGATAAATAGATGAATAAGTCATTTTTTTTCCTGGCTGCCTAAATGAGTTGCTGGCTCGTTTTTTGGGATTCCAGGGTGGGCGCGGAAAAGGTGCTATCTTTCTAAATGGACCGGCAAGTGTCTAATAAAATGAAAAAAACGCGTTCCGAGAGACAGCACGTCCTTTCTGCGACACCGGAGAAGTCGAAATTTGTCGAAATGAAATGACCTCGCACAACGGGAAGGGACAGTGCGTGGATTGTTCCGCTGAAGAAATGGAAGTAATTCAAGTGGGAAACTAACTGAGAGTTTTCGTAATAAAGAAACCCAATTTTCAATTCTCTTGAATCAGGAATAACACTACTCTCTACTGCTTCTATGCCCTTCAAACGCCTCGCTAAGGTGGTTTTGTTGAGTTTCTCATAGCTATAGTAGATTGCTATACTGGTAGCTGCCTAGGTTTGATTGTCCGTCGTGCCTCTATGTGGACGGTATTTGTTATAATAAAATAAAAAAACGGTCTTAAGGTTTGCTATAATATGAGCTGGATTTGAAAGCCGCGTTATATGAGATAGCTTAGGTTCGTTGATGAATTCCTTTCAGATCATCTTGCAGCGATGAAGGTCTAGATTCACTATGCATTCATCGAAATGTCCCCATGTTTGCGTAGGTGGAGCTCTTGCGCTTGTAAATGAAAGTCGAGACATGCCTTGAGCCGTAACTGAAGAAAAGTAAGTATGTTAGGGAAGGGTAGCCCAAGATATAACTGGTTGTTTTAGGTGACAGGCTTTAGACGATCGTTAGTGTTAAGCGGCGGTTTGATGAATCACCGGAGTGATACGCAGCCAAGTATATAGGTCGGGGCCGGCGGGCGGGGGGGGGGCGGGGGGCGCGCGCGGCGGCGGGGCGGGCAGCGCGGTCCATAATTTTGAGAACCTTTGGTGTTTTTCGACTTAATTACTTATCTTATTTCTCTGATGTATTTATTCAGCATAGTATACATCACCATTATTACCAACATATAACCAATGCGAGGGTGGGTATTCAGTGTCCCTCTTGTAGAATTTCATAGAGTTCTGATCGAAGAAATATTGGATGTCGATTTTGACTTTATGGTGATTCAAGTGAGATTTCTTCTCCAGAAGGTGATTGAGAGAGGAGAGCGGATAGTCGTTCGTTGACGCAGGATTAGTGCTACAAGGCGGAGCTAAAAGAACTGACCGCCCGAGAGTCTCCAATTTTTTAGGAATTTTCTTAGCAAGGCGGGCTCGAACGACCTCAGAAAAAAATAGATTTTGTCTTCCTTTGCTTTCAAGTTGAAGGCGTTGCCATCAAGCTGTCAACGATTCTTCCCATCACTGACACTGGTATTAGTTGATGCCGGTCTTCAGCGCAAAGGCCCTCCCGTATTGCGCCAACGACTCAGGAAGTTCGAATTCAGAGGGAGTTGGGTTTTTACTGTCAGAACTCCCGAATCGTTTGAGCAAATCTACTGCGGCTCGTGGATTTGTTAGCACACTGCACCCAGTCCACATCACCAATGAGTATTATAGATGGTCATCCGAAGGAACTATGGGAAACCAACAGGAACTTGATGATGTCAGATTGGGTTGAGAACTGATTCGGGACTACAATTTTCCTTCGATCAGAACTCTATGAAAGTCCACAAGAGAGGCACTGAATACCCACCCTCGCATTGGCGATATGTTGTTAATAATAATGATGTATACTATGCTGGATAAGTAGATCAGAGAAATAAGATAAGTAATAAATCGAAAAACACCAAAGGTTCTCAAAAATTGTGGACCGACCTAATAGAATGCACGGAAATCGG